TAAACAATGACTGTTTATTTAAAACTTTCGTCAATGATCAAAATGTCAATGATGTAGTGCTTATCTAGCCATATTCAATGTTTAACGTTAATCACGCATTCAGGGATGAGGCTTATGACAGTTCCAGCGCAATTTGCAACCAATTAACCATTGAATTCCGAAAAAGGCAGTTATACCATAGCTACAAGGAGACTGCCGGCGCCATACCGAGTAGGCATGTAGACTCTTGAGCGTCGGACTCCTAAACGCTTCGATACAAACCACGAAGTCGGCCGTCATTATCGCGTCACTGCCCGTGCGATGTCATGGGACAACGCTTCGGGCGGCCGCGCCGGTCGGACTCGCGAGGGAATGGCTGACAGATGGCAAGCCGGGCCCTGCCGGACACCTTGGTTTTTGGGGCGGGGCTGACTTATCCAGCCTGTTGCCTGTTCCTTGGTGTTTGAGGCGGGGTTAATTTATCCAGCCTGTTGCTCTGTTGCCTGTCCATTTTTCAATCAGCCGATAACATGTCAGCTACGGCCTACGTCCATCTACATTGTACCTATGGCGCTCATGAACGCTACCGATTTTTATGTAGATCAATGGTCTACAAGTTTCGCCACCTATGCCTCACACTGCACTGTATAAACGCGGTCATATTTATACTTCTCTGTAAAGGGGCGATCTGTTTTTAGTTTTGACGAAATGTTATGAGGAATGCCGAAATTAGCATGGGGATGTTTTGGTGAACGACGAAGGGATATTAACGAATGACGAAGCATTTATCCAAATCGTCAAAGGTTTTGCCGGAACTCAATCAGTTATGGCGAATAGCGAAGGTAATACCAACTGACGAGCTGTGGAGTGGGATCAGCATTCCGTTTTGCCCATATGCTGAAGGTTTTGCCAGAATGCCTCTCACTGGCGCCACCTATGTGCTGATCGGACGAATGGGTTTTGCTGATTGGCAATGGCCATCGAACAACGCAAAAAGGTGTAGTTGCCCTCCCGCCCGCCGAGCGACCTACCGCTAAAACCCGCGAGACCTGTACTATTGCTTCCAAATTAAAGGTAGTGTGCCAGCTTTCCTGGACCGTATGGAGTTAATGGTCCAGATAAGGAGAACCGGATTTTTAGAACTTATCCATACCTTCAAAACTCATGGAAACGTCTTAAATTCTTCAAATTTTGAGTACCCCAGTGCGAAATTCGCCCCGACGGGTTGTCGGTCGTACCCCAACCACATTTCACACCACTATGAACAATAAATGCACACACTGAAATCGCTATTACCGATATGCTCATCCAATCAAGTTTCGATAAACCCGTTCATCATCATCTCCTGCGGTTTCGAACACGCCTGTTAGGTGGCTTCTGATGCTCGTTGAGGTCGGAATTTCCAAATACGCGTGGTGCGTCGGGCCGCGCGCTCTGACTTCGGCCAAGAAAAATGCGTCAGCTGATCATTGTCACTTCTGCCACTTGCGTGTGGTGAAATGGGGTCATAACTTACAAGACGGCTTTTTCATATCAATTATTTTACATAAAATCATATTTCAAACCATAAATAATGTTCGACAGCCAAATAAAAGAAACAATACCAATACGGGCTTACAGTTTAAGGCTCGACATTGTGTTGTCTACGATTAGACAGCTGATAACTCATTCCCGTACGTCGTATGGTCGTAACACTATAATGACCTTTGCTTATTGTCACAAGTGCGCCGCATTCGCGATTGTTGCCCGACGCCTGTTTGCAGGTGAGCCCACTACAGTTGTTATACATACCTTTAAAGGTAGTGTGCCACCTTTGAAAGATTTCCCATTTTATTTTTCCTAGGATAAGAAGCTTCTGTTTTTACCTAATATCGCAAAAAAAATCAAAAATGGGCCTGGAATAGTGCCTTTTTCGCCTAAAAGTTTTTCGGTTTTTAGATATGTATAACAACTGTAGTGGGCTCACCTGCAAACAGGCGTCGGGCAACAATCGCGAATGCGGCGCACTTGTGACAATAAGCAAAGGTCATTATAGTGTTACGACCATACGACGTACGGGAATGAGTTATCAGCTGTCTAATCGTAGACAACACAATGTCGAGCCTTAAACTGTAAGCCCGTATTGGTATTGTTTCTTTTATTTGGCTGTCGAACATTATTTATGGTTTGAAATATGATTTTATGTAAAATAATTGATATGAAAAAGCCGTCTTATAAGTTATGACCCCATTTCACCACACGCAAGTGGCAGAAGTGACAATGATCAGCTGACGCATTTTTCTTGGCCGAAGTCAGAGCGCGCGGCCCGACGCACCACGCGTATTTGGAAATTCCGACCTCAACGAGCATCAGAAGCCACCTAACAGGCGTGTTCGAAACCGCAGGAGATGATGATGAACGGGTTTATCGAAACTTGATTGGATGAGCATATCGGTAATAGCGATTTCAGTGTGTGCATTTATTGTTCATAGTGGTGTGAAATGTGGTTGGGGTACGACCGACAACCCGTCGGGGCGAATTTCGCACTGGGGTACTCAAAATTTGAAGAATTTAAGACGTTTCCATGAGTTTTGAAGGTATGGATAAGTTCTAAAAATCCGGTTCTCCTTATCTGGGCCATTAACTCCATACGGTCCAAGAAAGCTGGCACACTACCTTTAAGCTTGATTCGCGCCTGGCTCTAGTACTGCATTGAATACCTACCCTCCCGAACCCCTCCCGTATCGCCAGGGTAGCTGTCCCGGTGAGGTGCGTGTCAGACTGAAGCAGTGCGTGGACCTTGTGACTGTCAGTCCGCGCCTGGGGCAGGGACACGGGAATGACCTGTGATAATGGCGGGCACGTGAGCGTGACGCATAGCTGGGTCACATTCTATCCAATCAGGGATGATGAGAGCGCCACAGTGCAGGGGTCAGGCCGATGATTGGGTGGGGGAGCGCTGGATGGGCGTGTTACGGGTGAGAAAATATTTGACACGCTTGGCAACTTGAGTGCTACACGGACTTATACCTACGCTAAACCTTTTCACATTTTCTGAAGCAGGGAATCAATTTATGTCCTAGACGTCGCTGGCCGAGGAGAGTGCCTTCTCAGACATTATTTTTCCAATTGCACGAAGCAAACAAACAGTCGTTTTTTTTAAGATTTTCGAGCTTTTTCGAATGCCGCTTACACGTGTCGCATACGTGGGCGTGGCCTGCAGGAGCCGAGTTAGTGGGGGGGGGGGGGAGGGAGGTGGTTGGCGCCGAGCACCTGCTTGGCGCAGGTTAACAATTATCTGAAAATGTTTATAATATATGTTCAGATTATATTGACATTATTGTTTTAAATCATACTGTGCTTATGATTATTACACGCAATATTGAAACTAGCGCAGTCAAAGCACCCCGCAGTAGAGCAGAAAACATTATCAGACATCGTGCAGGCCCAGGCCGGCGTCAGATCACTGCCCTCGCCTCACAGCGACTTCTGTTTCGGCCGCTGGTCTCGCCCGCCGGCCATATGTGCCCTTGACCTTTGACCTACGATGCGTGTCCTGGCTGAATTCCGTACTGGAGCGAAGTGAGGATCAAGCTTAATTTGGAAGCAATAATACATACATAGGCGGCGGAACGGGGAGGGCACCGGGGCACCGTGCCCCCTTTGATTTTGGCATTTTAAAGGGAGATAATGAGCTTTCTTTTTTCTTAAATAAAAATTACTCGACATCTATACTATTTCTACTGTAGTTTCTATAAAATATGAAAATTTTCTAGCACATTTTCGTATGTGAAAAAGGTTTTTTATTTTTGCAAAAAAGAAGCAGTACTTGCAGTACTTGTAACACCCACCGAAATGCGTTGTCCTTCTCTATAAAAAAAAGTCGCAGTATATGGCGCTTTTGTTTCAAACAGCGACGCTTGGGTTTTTGTTTATGTTATCGCCTTGTCGTTGCTTGGTTGTAAGGATTCTAATTTGAATTAGAGTTAATTCGGTTTAGAATTAATTAGATTCTAATTCGGGGGTACATAGTGCCTACTCTTCTTTGTTTCCAAGTATTATTTTGCGCCACAAATGAATGGCATGCGCCAGAAACGCAGCCAAATCTTGCGATTGCGACTACGAAATTCATTATTTTGGCCTCAGAGCCTGAAGCGAAAAATACAAGCATATTTATTTCAAAAAAGACTTCAGGTTTGTCGAACGGTGTTATGAGAATTTTGATAACAGTACTGCATAAGTTTTTCAGTGATGCCGCAAAAGTGTTGTATCTATCTTCTTTTATTGTGCAGTCGGCGGGACCGATTCAAAATTGAGTCGTTGCTACTAAAATAGCAGCATATGGCGACAGATGATGAACAGGAAAAATAGTTGCGTAAATTTAGACATAAACCACCCCCAAACCATGAATATCTTTTGAAGGCACTATAGACGACCATTAACTAACTAGATGTGATGAAGATCAAATGTAATGAATACGCTCATTTTACAAAATTACATGCAAGTACCAAAAAGTGATGTAAGTACTTATTCAACGGTCATTTTCAGCGCTCCCCGCTAACGTGACTTCAAGTTGAGATATTTGCGGCAAGGTACCGAATTGAGCAAAATGGTTTTAATTTACATTATAACTTGTTGTGTTTTGTCAGAAAATGGTCCTAACTCAGATTTTGTGGAAAAAAGGTCATAATCTCCCTTTAACATTAGCCCTATGGACGTTGCATGGAAAGAATGGGACCAAAAGTCGGCAGTGCCCCCCATGAAGGTGTTCCGCCGCTACCTGAGGTAGCGTCCGATGGGGGTAGGCGGCAGTGCACGGGCGGACCGGTGCAGGAGACCCGTCTGACCTTGCGGGCGGAGGTATGTAGCGGCGCGGTCGGCCGCCGCGCCGGCGGGCTGACCGACAGACGGCGCTGGCGTCGGCCGGCCGCCGCCGGCCGCCGGCAGTCGTTGTGCCGCGGCCGGTGGTGCCGCGCCCAGCTGACGCCTAGCCCGTCCCTAATGCTGTGCTGGCGGCTCTGACTGGTATTTGATCTCCGCAGGGCCGTTCATGTGATTCGACAGCTACCAGTGCATAGTAATGCCCAAGCAGAAGAAGAGAGCGTCCGCATCGCCGAAGGCGCGTGGTAAGCGGCGCCTTGAGGAGCCCAGTGCGGCGCCGAGCTCAGTATCAGCCGACACCGAGCCAGACAGCAAACGCACCGGGAAGCTGGCCAAGGTGATGGGCCGCGAGCCGGCGCCGTCTACCAGCAGCGGCGGCGGCGCGGCGGCGGCACCCCAGCCGGCTCCGCCGCCTAACGAGTGCGGCGGCAGTGGCAGCGTGGACGGCTCCGCAAATGGCGGCCGCGTCACTCCAGCGGGGAGTGGCGCTCCACCCGCCCCTGCCCCCGCCCCAGCCGCTCCGGTGCCAACTGAGTCCAGTCAACCGGTCCACGACGTGCGCAAGCTGCCCAAGAAGCGCAAGTTCAACCCGGCGGAGCTGGAGGGTATGCAGCAGGACGGCGCGGCGACCGAGCGGCCGGCAGCGTGGGAGCGGCCGCCGCTGACGGCGTCACAGGCCACGTCGCCGCCACCGCGGCCGGCCGCCGTGACTGTGTACGCTCAGTCGGCGCCGCCGCTGTCTCTGGTGACGCACGTGCCGGTCTCGCGGACCAGCCCGCTGCCAACCGGAGCACCGCTGATTGCCACGGCGCAGGCGAGCCACTCGCCGCCGCCACCGCCGCTCACCACTTCCAGCTGCGTGTTACTGTCCAAGGGCCGAGAGCCGGCAGAGGGCGCCGGCCGGCCGCCGGCTGCCCACCTGCCGGCCGTGGACTCTGAGCCGTCCGGCTACCGCGGCGAGGACCTGCGGCCGGGCGCGCGCCGCGCCGCCGAGCTGCAGCTCTCGCCGCTGCTGCCGCCGGCGCCGCTGCTGCCCGTGCAGATCCACATCCCTGACCAGCCACCGTACGGACTGCGCATGGAGCGGCCGGCGGCGCGGCCGGCCGAGGAGCAGCGCCGACTGGATGAAACACGCCGCATCCTGGAGATATCGCGCGGCATCGCGGTGCGCGCCGCCGAGCCCCGCCGGCCGCAAACGGTGCCGCTGCCGCTGCTTAACAGCAGCCACGAACCGAAACTGGTGCGCGATGCCCGCGACCTAAAGCCGTCAATGTTCAGTCCTGGCGAGAGCCGGCCGGCGAGGCCGATGCCAACTCTGGCCGAATGGCGCGGACACCGCGTGCTAGCCAAACGTGAGACCTACTACCTTCCGGGCGTCATCAAGGGCGTGTACCGCACGTGCGACGTCAGTGTGCTGTTTGACGGGCACCAGCAGCCATTCATCTACTCGAACGTGTCCGAGCCGGGCCGCTGTGACGTCATCAGCGACGCGGCGCCTCTGTCGTCGCAGGTGAGCAGCGGCCTGCGCGTGGCCGTGCGCGTCGACGCCGATAAGATGGTGTTTGTGGAGGGCACTGTGGTGGCCGCCAACCGGCCGGCACACCTCTTCAAGATCAAGGTGCTGTCGCAGGAGGGGCCGCTGGAGCGATGGTACGCGCGGCCGGCCGTGCGCCTCTTGCAGCCGCCCTGGTTCGAGGAGCTCGATGAGCCGGCACCGCTGGGAGGCCCGCCTGCCACTCAGGTGACGCCGCCGGGTACCACACCAGTGACGCCCATCTCGGGACAGTCGGCTTCGACGGCGCCGTCGTCTGGCAGCGACGACCTGCGCCGACAGGCGTACACCGAGTACGACAGCGAGGATGATCTGAAGAGAGAGGACATCAACTTCGGACCGGACGGTGAGTGCGCAGCTGGCCGCTGCCGGAGGACTGGGTGAAAGCTGGCGGCGTTGAGCGGGTGGGCGCTGCGGCTGTCCGGGCGACAGCGCCGCTCCGACCCAAGCGAGCCGCACCCAACCTGCCTACCGCAGCCCGGCACATCCATCGCCTTAGGATTGCTTGTGAAATACGTTTATAGTAAGGGAGAGTGGGGCAAAACGGCCACCTTAACCCTATTCCTGGCGGGGGGGGGCCTCAGGAGCCCCCCCCCTGAGGTTTTTTGGTTATTTCTCCCAAACGCTTTGAGCTAGGAAGCTCAAATTTTCTGACTTTTACTAAAAGGCTTTTACGCAACATTTCTGAAAATTTTGAGTTGATCTGACCTCAGGTCAGGTCACCAGAGGCGGTTTGGTGACCCTACCTCAGAAAAGTTTGCAATCACGCCAGAGCTAGAGTTTTTGACCGACCAATTTCTTCTCTTCAGGCTTTAGTTAGGGTACCAGTATGTGCAATTTGTATATCTCAGAATTTTCATATCTGTGACCTGAGGTCAGGCCAGACTCGTGACCTTTACATTGCAAGCCTATGGGAAAATATTGAAACGCCTCCTGCTTCGTGTAAACGAGTCAAAACCACCCAATTCTTTCAGTATTATGGAAGATTATCTCATCGGTGATGATCCTGGTGCCGCTAATTGACAGGGGCACCGGCAAAGGTCATCTGAGGTCATGTGACGTCATAAATCGTTTTTCTGTAAATAAATCACGACATGATGGTGCTAAAGACTTGTAAGTGGTACCAAACTGCTCGCCTGGTCAAGGCGCGTCGTTTGGTATGCAGCATGACCATACCCCACAACCTCATTGATGAATGACCTGACCTTGACCTCAGGTCAAATTTCAAATTGACCTGTGAAGGTCGTCACATACTTATTTCGCATCGCCTCGGCGAGAGCAACAAAAAATTTATTGGTTTTATGTCTCTATGTTTCTTAGTTTAAAAGTTATATAGATAACTAATTCCAAAACATTTTATCGTTGATGACCTCTGGTGACCTCAATATTGACCTGACCTGAAAATGTTTTATGTAAAAGTTGTAGATCTTTAAACGACCTATCAAACGCCGTTCGCCGTTTGTCGCTGCGATGTGTAGTTTTTGAGATCTGAAGGGGGGCCGAATCGGCCCCCCCGCCAGTTTCTTGTCCCGGCGGAGCCCGCCAGGAATAGGGTTAACGCTTCTTACGATGCCGACATAGGCGCGGGAGCCGGGGGGGGGGGGGCAGTGGGGGCAGCTTGCCCCCCCCCCCCAACTCTGGGGCCGTGGGGGCGGTGCCCCCACAGTTTTGAGACGGAATACCACACTTTTTTTGCAAATGTTTTATTTTTTGTTGAAAAAGCCGAGGGGTGAAAAATAAGTGGCTTAAAACCGGTGAGAAAACTAGATTTGGGGGTACCCTAGGTTGATCTCTATTATGGTGTGCCCCCCCCCCCCAGTCGGAAAGTAGTTCCCGCGCCCCTGGATGCCGACGCTCGATTTTTAAACATAAAAAGATTATTTGTATACCAATGTGATCGCTATTGAATTGCCTTTTATTTCAAATGCGTTTAATTTCCAAAGCCGTTCACATATGGGAGATATTGGCAAAACTTGAAACCTATGCATTATGGCCACTTTGTCCCATACCTTGGGGCAAAGCAGCCACTGCACCGGTGACTTCTGATGTCCCGATTTGAGACACAGAATAGTTTGCTTCATGTACGACTAGGGTATTTGATGAATGCATGACGACACATTTCAATATCAATAGCCGTGTTGTTCAGATGGAAACAATTTATGGCCAATGCAGAGCTGGCCACTTTTCCCCCTCCACTTTGCCCCGCGCAGACCGCCCGATACTTCTCGTCTTTTTGCCATTCCAACTCATCTATTAGAGGGGCATAAGGCATTAAAACTGGTAAAAGACATATACAATAACCACACAATGCATGAACGAGAGCGCTTAACTAAAATTCAAAACCGTTGTGAAATCAAACAACATTTAAAGATAGTAAACAAAAAGTTGATAGTCTGGCAAAATGCTTTTCCGCATATCACAGAACAATGGCGATGGGCTGGAAACCCTGGTCTGGCTAATTCGAACGACCGCGAAGATAAGTGCAGTTCACAACCATAAATTGGAGCTGACGCCAGCTGTAGAGGTATAAAACGATGGGTGGCCGCTTTGCCCCGGGTGGCCGCTTTGGCCCACTCCTGTCGACAGTCATTTGTCCACTACCCATAACCCGCGAGTTGCTGGGGGGGGGGGGCGTTAAACGCCCCCACTTTTTTCGCCGGGCCATAGCATAAAAACGGCGCGCCGCAGGCGCGCCAAATTTTGGGTACCTGTAGGGAATTGATCGAAGTTTATTGTGACAAAGTTTCAAAAAAATTGGTCGGAAAATTTTTGAGATATCGAGGTTTTGGTTACGTCATGATTTCTGAGTTTTCGACCAAAAACGGCATATGTTAAAAAAAAATATATATATATATATTATATATATATATATATATATATATATATATATATATATATATATATATATATATATATATATATATATATATATATATATATATATATATATATATATATATATATATATATATATATATGCCGTAAACGCCATTAGACTCCCAATACCATGAACAATCAAATGGCTATCTTCGATCATTGATAATTATTGACGGCATTTTCCAAAATCTTGAACTGAATCTGGGCAATTTCTCGTGACTACTTCACGACCATGATACATGCATTTCTTAAATTGAACTTTTTGAGCCAAACACGTACACATATGATAAAATGAATGTCACCATCGTGTTCTACGCCCCAAATTACCCATAAAACATGTGTCACAGGCTGCGAATATCAGTTTTGATTTTCGGGGATATTTGCCTACCCGGTTGACCTGACCTTGACCCTGACCTATGCTTGACTGACCCCTACATGGAGCTGACACTATTTTAGGCCTTATATGACGGATTGTGCACCGTTTTGACAGAGTTAATGACGAGAGGCGCCCATTGCGAAGTCCTGAAGTCCATGCTACTGAAAGCCCGATTTCAGGTGTTTGACCTGACCTTGACCCGACCTGTGACCTCAAAATTCAACTTTAAAGTACTCATCTGAAGCGTCTCGTCGCGTTCTTTCGTTTGCCGCCTCGTTCGTTTCGCTGCGCCTATTGGTTCTCGAGTTATCGGCTGGGGGCGTTTAACGCCCCCCCCCCAGCAAACGGTGGGTGGCGAAATACCCCAGCAACTGCCGGGTTAATATTGGTACCTATCTGTCTAGTTGAGGTATATTTGCCTTTGGGTCTACAGCGCTGGGATATGTCTATCTGGCACTCCTGTGAGCTGCAAAGATAAGCATTTCTTATCTCTGCATCCCTCTGAGATGTGAAGATAAGGTCTCGAGGATTCATAGCCCAAAATCATGAGTTCAAGTAAAGATGGGTCAATAACCGAACCGAACCATTTTTAATGGTTGTTTGGGCATGAAGCTTGTGAGATTAAAAAATCTAAATTTATTTTTACATAGAAGAATACATTTTGATATAATCTTTAAACAATTAAGAATAAACTTAAACATAAAAAGATATAGGATTCTTCATGGCTCACTCGTGGAAGATTGGGTATCTTTTATCGAAAGATCTATTGGCCAAAGACACGAAGATAAATCGTAAGGAACCGCTCGTGACAAGAACAGTTGGAAGAGTTGAGCCAGGGGTAGCCAGTAACAGTTGGTAGCATTAGGCCAAATGGGCGCCCAAAAACTACTACCCTACCCCATAGGGCAGTGGTCGGCAGGTCATTCGGGGTCGTGCCCCCTTTTTGGGCGTCAGGCAGGGCCATTACCCCCACCTACCAGACCCCATTGCTGACACAACCAAGTTTACTGAAATTCCATACCGTCCTGGAACTCTTTGGGTCCAGGGTATTTGTGCATTTCCAATGCATCAAATTTAAAACATGACACTTCCTCCACAAAACATTTAATACCTATATCCCAGTAGCGGCGGAACACCTTCAATTAAGGGGGGGGGGGGGGCACTGCCGACATTTGGTCCCATTCTTTCCATGCAACGCCCATAGGGCTAATGTTAAAATGCAAAAATCAAAGGGTGCACGGTGCCCCGGTGCCCTCCCGTTCCGCCGCCTATGCTATATCCTATTTAACCCTTGTACGTATAGGGGCGGCGGGTGGTTTTTCGTTAAAAGCTCACGTAAAAGGCATTGGATCACGATCAAATTGTACCCTCGAGCCCATCATTTTTTTTTTACCAGCCCGGAAAATATCATGACCTGAGACCAGTTTTACCAACAGAAAAATAACCGCCTGCCGGAATTTTTGCCTCAAGACCGCTTCACATACGCGATGGGCTCGTAAGCGGATAGGGCTTTACCGTTTACGCTCCATATGTGAAACGATCTTTAGGCAAAAAATTCCGGCTGGCGGCTATTTTTCTGTTGGTAAAACTGGCCTCTGGACCCATAATGACCGTTGGCTTATGAGCTTTTTCTGGAGATCATCTTGAGCCATAAAATCTCACTTCAAGAAGTTATAGCGGGTCCCGATTTTCTCGACACTTGCCATTGCCCTCTTGAATGAGACGGAATGACCAAAGACCTTAAAAATGGGCAGCAGCGGCTTCCTATTGTCACGGGTAGCACGCTCGTCTTTTTTATGCACAGCTCCATCTCAGAGTCCGAGAGGCCGCGGGGGTCCGATCGACTCCTCCCCCTTACGTTAGCGGCTGTTGAAACGCCAACAGACGGGCGACGGTTAGAAGTTGCGGCTGCTTTTGTACGACTGTACGAAGGGGTGAGATGGTGAGGCGAGCAGGTACGTGAAAATTGGTATCTAATCAATGTGTGCTGTGCCTTTGGCCTACAGGCTAATCTTTGAACCCTGGGATGCAACAGTCACGATGGCTCCATCACTGGAGCTACAAACTCCAAAAAGATAGGCTTTCTCAGAATC